ATATAAATCAATATATAATAGTTCAAGTCTTTATATAGTTAAGTTAAGTATATCGAAGTTCTTCGAAACTAAAACTTTTTAAGCGGCCCAAGTCTATTCAATGGACAAGAACTGAACATCGAACAACTTTTCAACCTCTGCCCAGACTTGGTAAGGTTCATTCAGTCGCTTTATGGCACAAAATGTCTATGACACTTATTTCTTGCATATTTGGCTCTCTTTAAAATAAAAAAGCTTTAAAAATTTGCTGAAATAAAAGGAATTAAACAGCTTATAGAATTAATTATAGAGGTCTATGTTGCTTCATAAATTTGCTTATTTTTATATTTAATTTAATTGTAATATTATTATTAATTATATGAATAGTTCATTAAAAAAAAAATAAAATATAATAATAATAATAATAATAATAATTAATTATTATTATTATTATTATTATTATTATTATTATTATAATAGTAATATTAATAATAATAAAAACATTTGTTATATATTATATAATAATTTTATATTATTATTAATTATAAAATTACTAATAAAAATAATATTATTGCCAGTCGAAAAATTTACACACGCTTTAATTAATTAATAATGAATAAAATAAAAAATAATAAAATAGCTAAAATAAAATTAATTTTGTCATTTGTCAATTAACCCATAAATCTTCCTCACTTACGTGTGCATATCCTGATGCATTACACTGATCCGCGCATTGTGAGTTACGACGCGTCCTTGCAGGGCCAGGACCGTCTGATCGGAGGCACGCAGCCAGCCGACCTGAGAACAAAACGATCAAAACAAATTAGAAGCTGTGCAACTTGAGCCAGCCAGGTGAATGGAATTGTTGACCTACTTTATTCTTGCCCAGATTGCGCACGGAGCAGGCGAGAACGGCCTCACGACCAGCCGGATACGTGACATTGTTGATGAAGCCAATAAACTCCGGATCGGGATCCAGCTGTGAGTTTAACTCTGTGCACAGCACGTGGCATTAAATTGAATTAGAATTTGATGTTTGGGGCCAATGGGGGCAATTGAATGCTTGCCCCAGCTCGACGCTCTACTTACCATGATGCTGATTCTGTGGATATCCATTGGCGCATTTGGCGGCCATTATCAAAATGACAAAGAGCAGGCCTAAATGGCTCTTCATTTTGTTATCGTTGTTGTTATTGTTGTTGCCCCTCCTGCTGCTGCTGTTGTTGTTGTTGTTGTTGCGGCTTGTTTTTGCGCTCTGCAGCTGACGTTTGTTATTTGCAGCAGCTGTTGCTCGATTCGCTGCTGCCGTTGTTGCCGTTGTTGCTGCTTTTGTTATTTTATGGGTATTTTTTGTAGCGAACGCCACAAATTCTATTTGCATTTGAATTTCTATTTCTATTGCTATTTGCCGCATGCGTTGTTTGTGCAAATTGCGCAAGGGGCTTTGATTTCACTGCATCTGCATCATTCCCAAGTGCTGTTGACATCTGCAAGCGAATACGAAAAAATAGCAAAAACTAAATAAAATGGCATCACCATAAAACACCCAAAA